CGGGTACGTAGGTATATCTTTCAAACTTCAATTTTTTTACTAATCCAGGATGTGATTTTGAATAGACCAAAATTAATTATTCCAAATTTTGGACACGGGTACGCAGGTACGTCTTTCAAACTTCAAATTTTTTACTAATCCAAGATGTCATTTTGAATAGACCAAAATTCACTATTCACAATGAAGGAAATGAGTATTTAACAAGGGGTTAAGACAAATAAAATAGAAATTTGGGATTTAGTTTTCAATAATGACAAGTACTAGATGTTATATAAGATAGAAAATAAGGAACTTGATTGTAATTTGAACTTAGTGGAGCAATAAGTAGTATTATATGGAACACATTTTCATTTTATACAAACAAAATCCTAAACCATCGATATAGAGAGAGAAAGAAGGAGAAAAAGAAGAAAATGGAAAGAAAAAAGAAAGAAGAAGAAAGAGAAGGGAAAACCTAGCGTCGCCGCGTTTCTCAACCCTCCTGACGACAACGCTAGGTTTATAGAGAGCAAAAGTGGGGAAAGAAGAAAATGAAAAGAAAAGGAAAAAAAAAAAAAAAGGAAAAAGAAGAAGAAGCAAAAACGATGAAGTGTCCAGTTGAAATTTGGAGGATCAGACACATATCACATACCCATGTCGTGTCGGGTACTCAAACTACTTCGAAGAGCCCAAGCATCAGAGTCGGAGAGCTTATACTTTTGTATTGCAGCGTAGTTTGTCGCCTTGGTTATTTAACTGCTTCTTTTACTTTGTTCCATGAAGATATGGGACGCTTCTCGCTGTAAGAGAGTGAGAACAATGGAGGGACATCGGCTACGAGTTGGTGTACTAGCCTGGAGCTCATCTATGTTATCTTCAGGAAGCCGGGACAAGAGTATTCTTCGGAGTGATAAACGAGCTCAAGAAGATTATGTTAGTAAGCTAAGTGGACACAAGTTGGAGGTCAGTAACCCTTCTTGATTCTACGTAATTTAATATTGTAGGGTATACAAGCTTATTCTTCTTCTAATATATTAAGTAGCATTACACCTATAATCATCCTTTAGGTGCCTTTCTTGTCTGAACATGAGCTACCTGTATTTTAGGTTTGTGGACTGAAGTGGTCTTATGACAACCGCGAATTAGCGTCTAGTGGAAATGATAACCGAGTATGTATTCATCTTCAATTTTGATGCTTGCTGGTGGTTTGGTTTGACAACGATATAATTTAGTGCATGCTCGCCTAAGCTTAAAGAGTTCACTTTTATGTAAATTTACTTGTGAGTAAATAATTAAAATTTCTAGATAAATATATTTTGTTGGTTAAAATTCAAAGAGTATGTTGTTGTGATAGCAAGTCAAAGTTACTTTTAAAATAAGCAACTTTTTTGACGTAAAATTAAGAAAAAAGTAAATACTCCTAAACATGTTTGGAAACAAAAAGCTACTTAATTTTTATTTGTTTTAAATTAGCCAAACATGATCTTATTCGGATTGGATATACCTTATCCAGTTATTCGTGTGGAACCAACATTCAACTCAACCAGTTCTTAAATATTGTGAGCACACTGCTGCTGTAAAAGCAATTGCGTGGTCACCCCATCTTCATGGACTCCTTGCTTCTGGCGGTGGTACTGCTGATCGATGCATTCGTTTCTGGAACACGACCACCAACTCACACCTGAGTTGCATGGATACTGGAAGTCAGGTAGCATGCTTATGTTTTTTCCAGCTATCCTGTAAAATTACAAGTTCTATAAATTTTGAATTATGTTATGGTGTTAAAAAGAAATCCTATCATTGAGATCCCATTTCTCATACCTCGCTCTTATAAAATGAATAGCTATAACTTCATTTGATTGGATCTCTGTCCGAATGTTTAGCAATGCTCCCACACCGGGCTAGGAGATATGAAACTTTCTGTATTTGTGTTTTATGATCTTGAGTATTTGATTTCTTTGCTGGTTGGAGGATTTTGTTTTGTTTCTGTGGAGAATTGAACCAGTGGAGTAGATGGATGATTGCTATGCAGGAGAAGATGGAGTCATTGAGCAAAAATAAAGCTTGAGACTTGGTAAAATTACCTAAAGGTAAAAAAGTTGTTCATTGCAAATGGGTGTTCAAAAGAAAGGAAGGCACATCAAGGATTAAAGATACTAGATACAAGGTTAGATTGGTAGCAAAGGTTACGGTCAGATTTCAGGTGTTGACTTTATAAACGTGTTCTCACCAGTTGTGAATTATAGTTCCATCCGGGCTTTACTTGGAGTGGTGACTAATAATGACTTGGAGCTTGAGCAGATGGGTGTCAAGACAACATACTTACATGGAGAACTTGAGAAAAGTATCTACATGCAACAACTAGAGGGGTTCACAGTCTCTAGGAAAGAACACCGTGTGTACTTATTGAAGAAGTCCTTGTATGGACTAAAGCAGTCACCGAAACAGTGGTATAAGATGTTTGATTCATTCATAATTACTCATGGTTTCTTCAGATGTAATTATGATAATTGTGTGTACTTCAGAAAAGAAGATAATGGATCGACTACATATTTCTTATTGTATGTTGATGATATGCTTATAGCAGCCAAATATAAAATAGATGTCAGAAAAGTGAAGTTTCAACTCAACAAGAAATTTGATATGAAGAATTTGGGTGCAGCAAAGAAGATTCTTGGTATAAAAATCTTGAGGGGTAGAAGGCTGGCAATTGTATTTGAGTCAGAAAGGGTACACCGAGAAGGTGCTTGAAAGATTCAATATGGTAAATGCGAAGGCTGTTAGTATTTCCTTGGCTCCTCACTTTAAATTATCATCTAACTAATATCCTCAGTTAGATGAAGACATTGATTATATGTCTTGGGTTCCTTATTCCAGCATAGTTGGTTCGCTTACGTATACTATGGTTTGCACAAAACCTGATTTTGCACATGCAATTAGTGTAATTAGCAGATACATGACAAATCAAGCCAAAGAACATTGGAAAGTAGTGCATGGATCTTCAAATACTTTAGGGGCTCTTCTAATGCTTGTTTGCATTTTGGTAGAAATTCAAATGGAGTCATTGGGTACGTGAATTCAGATTATGTAGAAGATCTTGATAAGAAGAGATCACTTACAGGGTATGTATTTATCCTTGTAGGCTGTGCTATCAGTTGAAAAGCTACTTTACAAAATACAGTAGCTTTGTCGACAATAGAAACGAATACATAGCCATTACAGAAGCACATAAGTAGGCTATATGATTGAGAGAATTGATTGGTGAAATCAGTGATTCTGGGTAATTCTGGTATCTTGTTTGTTCCATAACAAGTTCCCATAATTTTTTGTTGCTATATTGGTAAAGCAAGTGTCAGTGTATTCTGGGGAATCACCGGTGGCTCCGTCGTCACAGTCACCGTAATTCTCACATTAGAAGCCGGCAATGAACGCGACTGGATTTCGGCATCATCTTCAATAGATCACGCATCATCTTCAATACATCACGGCCGATCCGTATTATCTAACTAAATATAAAAGAGTGAGTTGGGGGTTACTGTTCACAAGCCGTGAGCCGAACCGAGCCAAATGGCTTACGGCTCGGCTCGGCTCGACTTAGTTTTTTTTTTTTAACGTTTGATTCAGTATTTTAAGTTACAGATATTCGTTTTAAGCGATTTAAAATTCGTTGAAAATGTTGAAGTGCGGTCATGATAAATATATGATCGATAAATTTTAAATATCAAAAATTGAAGTGCGGCCATAATAAATATATGATCGATAAATTTTATATATCAAAATAATTTTACATTAATTGTGAAACGTAAAGTCGTGATTATTTATGTTTCTTTTCCATCACAATCTCATTCTAATATCCTTTTTTGAACTTTATTTTTTTACAATTTTTCGTTTGATTCGATATTTCACGATATGAATACCCATTTGGATCGATTTCAATTTTTTTAAAAAAACTTCAAATGTGATAATAATAAATATATTGTTGATTAAATTAAAATATAAAAATGGTTTTATAGCTCGACTTGGCTAAGCCTTTTTTTTTTT